ATCGTGACAACTGTTGAGATCCGAAAGCGGGAGTGTGAAGTGCGTCGGTTGACGCAAACCATCACGTGACGCAACCTGTAAATTCAAGTCATTCGTTTGGCACTCAACTTCTACACAGAAACGTAAGCTGTCAGTGTAGAACCTGATAGCCTTGTACTTTGGATCTTTTCTTCTCCCCAGCAGTCCCCAGAAAGAGTTCAAATCATCAGAGAATTTATTCATAAAAACCGATTAGGCAATGACTGGGTTTGCACGAGTGTCATCGAATGTGACAGGCAAAATTTGTGGTCTGCAGAATACCCAAAATTATAAATTTAGACTCTGTCGGAGATTTGAGTACCTGGCAGGCATTTGCTTTTGATTCTTCTGCGATTCAAGAGGACTGAACATATACTGAGTAGTTCTGGTCCGATAATTCCTTGACCTTGATAGAATGGCGTCTAAAATTTAAGGATGCATTCGAATGTGCTCCTCCTCTGAGAGGTCGTCACTTGAGTAATGAGTCCGCACGTGACCAAGTAGCGTGACGTGTATGATAGCAATATATCCCAATTGCGAGCGAATCGGGTTGGTGATCAGTCAGTCACTCGCGGCCAAACGGAACTAGTAGAGGGTGTCCGCTGTTCGTATCCCCATGGACATTCACGGGTGACACACTGTCGATGATTCCTAAGAAGAATGGATCTTCTATTTATGTATATCTTTGTAATGTACTACTCATAAGGTTGCTGAAAATCCGTCGACAGCCCACGACCGGTTTCGCCCTTTTTGGGGATCATCAGGTAGGCGCAGTCCCCTGGTTTCCGTCAACTTTATGTTCGAAAACATTCGAATTTGGGTTCAAGTAGAACATAAGGTTGACGGAAACCTGGGGACTGTAATTATGGACAGTCCCATGAACCTGTTGAACAACTATGGGTTCGCAGGACTGTAAACGGTTTCGGTGGCATCTTGCTCAGGTTTTTCCTCGGGATCGCTGAATTTTAGAGGTCTTCATGGTTAAGACGGTGAGTTCTAAAACGGGTTTGATTTTTCACTGAAGCACTTGGAACAAACTCGAAGCCCAGTCGTTTGTTGAAATAGATGGAATTTGGAAGGAACCTGCATGGTTGCGTGAAGCAAGAACCGAATTCAACAATGAAAACAGTCATTGTTTTGTAACCTTGTCGAGCCCATCTACACTCATTCACACATCAATTTTGTGCCAAGTGAGGTCCAGCTAACCTTTTTATTGATAGTAATCTTGAACTGAATGTGATGCACAAAACGTTTGTCGTAAGTTTCAGCGGAGACAGTATTCGTGAGATCAAACTAACAGCACTTAACTGAGTTTGCTTAAAGTTCATCAACTGCTGGTATTCAGTTGAATCTCTCGTTCGCGCCAACCGAATGGGCAAATGAATGTACATCTCCGATAGCAAGTGAGAAACTGAAACATTAGTGGCCTCTGGACAGCATGTCATAAACGAGGAATCAGCTGGAATTTCACCAAAACTAAATCAAAATCATCTAGACTTTCAAAACCAAATTAATGTGCAAATGAGGATGTTTGGTGAATCCATCCAACTTGTGTTCAACTAGGGCATTGGGTTGGCCAGAATCTCGTTTTAGATGATGCGCCCCGAGATTGGCGAACCCGGTTGTGGGCTGTCGAAATGTTTTCAGCAAACGAATAAGTAGCTCTGTGTACGAACTACCATCTTGGTATCTCGAATACCGTACCAAATGAAGCCTGAGGCAACCTGTGTACCGTTCATTCAGTTGAAGGTTATCGTAAACGAGAAATTCAACTGTGTTTCCTGTTAAAACCGAACTGGTATACAGATGAGTGTATCTAGGGGATTTCGTACAATTCGTGTTCAACTAGAACGCTAGTTCGACGGATACTCGGATGATGCGCCTACATGATGAACCCGGAGAAGAGTCAATAGTGTTTTCAACACTATTTTGAGTAATGTCCTTCAGCTAGACAAAATACCACAATACTGCAGATACCTCGGTCACTGAGTACCTCATTCCGCCCAAGGATTTCAGAAAAGAGCTATTTAGTTGGGATTCGTTTGAGTGCCCCATTGAACGAAACTGTTTTCATATGCATTCATTTCGAAAACTCGGTGTGCTCTTGAGCCGAGGCGCTTGGCGTATTCTGACCACGTTTGTTCAGTGGATGTTTCTTGAAAATGAAACTAGTTTGACGTTGCTCCCATGGACCAGTGATACGGATTGCCCTTCAAGGAGGTTGGTTTTCCTTTAATTTGTCATCTCGAAATGGAAAGCATAGTGCATGCAGTACATACTCGGAAGCATTTATATTCCCGCGGCAGATTTCCAGTGGCAACAATTTTTGTGAATTATACCTGTGGCTAATGATTCATTTTCAATTACCCTCCATTCTCTCTTTCAGGTCCCGGTGAGATCAAGCGCCCAGTGTTCTTGCATCTTTCCTATAGGATCGTGTTGATGTGCATTCATCAAGTGATGAGCTTGTACTAGGGTGAGTGGGATTGAAAAGCCAAGGGCTTGTTGGTCGTGGGTTTTTAAGAACAACGGTACAAGTGGAGTCCGTTCTAATCTGAGTACAGTACTGTCTCAATGGTATTCAAACTTTGCTATGAATTTGTGCTTCGGAAAGGTGCGTGTGAGGCAGATATTAGTCTCACTGAAATCATCCTCGGTTACGGTATTCTGTCAGTCACTGGTACAAAAAAATTGAAGTAATTTGAACCATTTGTAGGTGTTCTTACAAGTTTTATGTGAGTAGTTTCCTTTCTTCAATATCGTGCCAACTGAATCATGAGGCGGCCTGTGTGCGGCACATTCAGCTGGAGGATATCATAAACGAGAGATTCAATTGAGTCTCCCGTGAAAACCAAATTGATTTGCAAATGAGTGTATTTGTCGAAAACAGTCCAATTTGGGTTCAAGTAGAACATAAGGTTGATGGAAGCTCGGGGACTGCGCCCACCTGATGAGCCCCAAGAAGGGCGAAACCGGTTGTGGGTTGTCGAAGGGCTTTCAGCAACCTTGTGAGTAGTCTCCTTCATGAAAAAAATTTTATACCTGTTTTAATTTTGAGGAAGATTTCGAGAACGATTGGGTGGGTCCCTGTAGCACGTAGGAGACTGGCACAGCATTCATTCGCGCTTGGACTCTGCTGCCCCAGCATTCCTTTCTCACCCAGTTTCAAATACAATGCCAGGGAGAAAAATGGACAGCTATGAAGCCCGGTAACGTCTCTGTGGGGAAACCCGCTGTTCATAAATTTTGTTCACACGTGACGGTATTGACGAAAGTAATTTTCAAAGTCACTGCTCATGATGAAGAGGTACGCACCCCAGACGGTGCCCTCGCTGGCACACAAGATATTAGCAGGTTATGTCGGATAGGCATTCACATAAACTCCCACTGGGATTAGGTACATTGCGTAACTTACTCCTCGTCAGATCAACAAAACGCCTTGCATACAGTAAATATGCTTAATCAGATAGAGATAAGAATTCACACGGTTACGCAGAACCTTTGGATGCCAGTCCGCCGCCTTACAGAAAGACTGTTATAACATGAGCCCACTGTGTTTCTGTAAAACAATGATTTGATTTAGTTAGGGATAAAATGATCCCTGAAAATCCAAAATTCAGTAGATCCGCAGGTCACACTGACAGAAGTCCATTCGATTACTGTCGATTCTGTTGGGTACTTCCAGGTCAATGTGATGAGTACTAGTCATAAGCACACTGCCGAACTTGATCAAATCAGTATTTGTTTCTCATAGGATCCTGCGCTTTGGAGGCACGATAGATTGAAGGAAATTAGACGACCGTGATACATCAATTAACTGTAATCTAGGTTACTTTACATCCAAACGTTAGCAGTGTTTTCCCCTACACACCGTAGTCTTTATTCACTGAGAGTTTTGAAAACATAGTTTTACAAAAATGGAGGTTTTTACTGACAAAAATGTTGACCTAGAGAAGAAGGCCTGGATAAATGATGCTCACCATACTTCGGTCAAGTTGATTTGATTTCAGCGTGACACTAGTCTGTTCTGGACTATGAAAATCGCAAGACACGTGGGAGGCAGTCATTTTCAGTAGATATTTTGTTCACTAAACGAGGTCGATCGATCAATCATCGATCGGCCGGCTGATCAAATCAGCTGTACTGGTAACTGCAACGTAGCTTCAGTCTGGTTGAAAGAAAAAAGTTAGTATGCATAAGTGGGTAGCTAGTTTCACCGACGAAGATTACCCGAGTCTTGCTTGTGTTTGTTTTGCGGCTGGTCAGTTTGTTTCCTAGCCAATGCCTCGAGGTGTATAAACTCATTTTCCTTCCACCCGGGTTTTATCGTTGGACCAGTCTGTATGTTTGCGCGCTTATCCTGAATCCATGTGTCACCATCCACATGTCGTAAAAGTTGTGTCTATTGTGGTTTAGGGATAAAACACGTCAGGGTAATTGTACTGAGACAAAGATGTTGGGACTAAAAGCGATGAGGTTGTAAAATCGGTTGACTACCACATGTAGCGAACTGAGGTTTTCTCTAATTCCAGATGACCTAATGACTTCACCAGTGTTGTCCTGAATGGTTTTGGCATCAGAAAATCGAATGTGCAGCCACGGCCTTCTCGAAAACAAGTAAAAGTCCGTCAGCTGGCCGCAGGTAAGAAAATCACGAATACCCTCCCATTCAGATGTTGGTCTGAGTGAAGACCCTTCGAAAGTCCTTGCTATGTTCGATAAATGCAATCATTTGTCTATCAATTTGGTTTTCACAGAAGACTCAAGTGAATCTCTCGTTTATGATACTCTTTAACTGGATATGCTGCATGAAAGCCGTCTCATGTTTCAGTTGGCACGGTATTCGAGATAGAGTAGTATGTTTTCATAAACGAAACCACTCTCAAGGTTGCTTAAGGCTCTCCGACAGACCGGGACAAGCTTCACCCTTCTTGGGGCCTTTGTACAGCACATTTAGTTGAAGAATATCATAAACGAGAGATTCAATTCAGTCTCCTGTGAAAACCAAGGTGATATGCAAATGAGTACATTTGACGAAATCTGCCCAATTCGGGTTCAATTAGAACATTAGGTTGATTGAAACTCGGGGACTGCGCCTACCTGATGAGCTCCAAGAAGGGTGAAACTGGTCGTGTGTTGTGGGAGAGTTTTCAGCAACCTTGTGAGTAGTTTCCTTGCGATGTTCCTAATCAGACAGTCTGAAAGCCTTACCATCCCCCGAATACTGATATATTTTTAGAAGTTGACGCAGAAGTAGACCGATTGGGTCAGTGAGATGGGAAACACGCTCCCACATGCACCACTTGTACAGTTAGGATCATATCGCAACAAGATAGCAAAATAACCTAATATGGTTTACAAAAAGCGCGTCTGCTTGGATTATCCAGCATGAAGACTGTATTATTCATAAAGGAAACTACTCACAAGGTTGCTGAAAACCCTTCGACAGCGCACGACAGGTTTCGCCCTTCTTGGGGCTTATCAGGTAGGCGCAGTCCCCGAGTTTCCATCAACCTTATGTGCTGCTTGAACCCAAATTGCAGTTTCGAAAAATACACTCATTTGCAAATCAATTTGATTTTCGCAAGCGACTAAACTGAATCCCTCGTTTATGCTTTTAATTAATTTAGTTAATTATTAGTTAGTTTTCAGTTGGTCATCTTAATTTTGCTATCAGCAGGTGGCCCGTGAATCAGACCACTGTATATCTATCTCGGGTGGCTATGCGTGTCTCAGTGAATAGGTTATTACGAAATAAAACCTGAAATTGTACGCCCTTAGAAAAGCAACGGAAAAGCACAGGAGTCACATGGATACAACTCGGTAACGGAGCCAGCCAAGGCACAAGACATCCAAGCTCAGCCTGTATTGATGATCGAGCAATAAATGAATGCAGCGTTCGCGCCTAACAGAGCAAGTTGATACATGTTGGCTGTACAGTTTGTCTATCGGAATTGCGGATACATTGTAGATCAAATGGAGAGTCCAGCTATGCGGTGCGACGAAGAAATTGCAGTCACCTAGACTGAAATGTTCTAATGGGGTGCATGATGCATGTGATTAGGTGTAGTTCAAACCAAATAAACTGAATTTCTGAATTTCCAGATACACATCGAATCGAATCGTTCACCTGTAACACCCTTCCGGTGTCTAGCTGCCATGCCACTCGAAGGAAGCACGAGGGCTGGGATACTGCCCAAGCCTAGACAGGAGACAGAGAGGCAGAGGTCGGGTTTGAACCACGGAAATTTCGGTCAGTAAATTGGCGCTCTAACCACTTGAGCCATCTCGTCCCTCTTCAGATACATGTACATACATTTATACATCAATGGTAAACCGTTTTATGTTAGCTTGTATCATGACCAACCGATTCTCCCTCATTTATTGTTACCAGAACGGAACTGTTAATTGTCTAAAATTTCGTCTTAACTACGGACTGATCGTTTCTCGTCAATTCTCACATTCTGCTTATATTTGTCGTCACCACACGTTCAGCCACCAGATTGCATCGTACTAAGTCCCCATTGATTTATCCTCGTTCCGCTCTCACGTGTGACTCCTATTGGTCGTTGCATTTCGTTATTTTTCTGCTCGACTGTGCATAACTGTTGGTTCCTATTGGTTATTCGGTTGAAGAGAAAGTCTCAGCCAATTCCTGCCATTTTTTCCGATGTATATAAACGGCCTTACTTCGCGGCAGAAAAGACCTGTTCCTGTGCTCGGCTTTGGCTTCTTCCTTACGCGAGTTGATGGGTTACCTCCGGACGACACAACAACCTGGCGACGGGGATGGGATCAAACACACAAGAACTGCCCCATACCACCCTCAGTCAAATGGACAGGCAGAACGATTCGTGGATACGATGAAACGGGCACTTCAAAAATCGATGGGAGAGGGGACTCTGGAAGAGCGACTGGAAAACTTTTTATTGAATTACCGTATCACTCCGAACCCAAATTCTCCTGACGGCAAATCAACTTCTGAAATCCTCATGGGAAGGCGCTTGAGAACAACATCGGATTTGATGATCCCTAAACGACCAAAACTAGAAGTCAGAAATCACAAGATGGAACACCAATTCAATCAACATCATGGTGCACGCAAAAGGAAGTTCCGCGTTGGTGACTCAGTACTTGCATTGGCTTTTGGAAACAATCGGACAACCTGGCAGCCTGGATGCATCCTGCGGCGCCGTGTAAATGTCTTATACGNCAAATACAATGAATCAAAAGCAGAACGATACAAATCCTCACGAAAAGAGATCGAGACCGAGGCGAAAGCGAAGGTTCGTGCAACCATTCCAGGTTGACCCAAGAAGACAAAGTTATGCATATCCCAGGTAACCAAAAAAGGACCAAAAAAGACCAAAAAAAGACCTGTTCCTGTGCTCGACTTTGGCTTCTTCCTTACGCGAGATGATGGGTTACCTCCGGACGACACAACATTTATGCTACACTAAGAACCATCGGAGATTATTTTCTCAAGGTGAAGTACTTTTACATGTCAACGAAAAAGAAACCATGAGTTACACGTACTGTTCCATCACATTCCCTAGTTATATAATCCTCACTCGATAGTGCAGTTGCCAAATTCCTTAACGATTGGTGTCGTGCGCGTGTTGAAGGCTAACTTGCTGGCCAAGCGAATTCGAGGAAATGACCGCGATGAATGCTGCAACAGAAAAGGGTTCGACGCTTCAACATTCACCCTGGTAATAGAGGTGACTCCTCCAGAAGGCTTCTTTTGAGAAAGAAAAACGCAACACCAGCTCAAATGAAACTTGGATGCTTTAATTAAGATAGACCGTTAAGTTGCACTGCTGTTTTTTTTCACACGCAGCCTTTCTGCACTTTCAGTCACTGTTACCACGTTTCTTCGATCCATTTAGCCTCCCGCCCACGCGTTTGGCCCAAAATACTCTCAGACTGGCCTGACACTCCGCTGTCTGTTTGTCCCGCTTGGTCGGGTGGATCAAACACCTTGGCTAAACCTGTTCAACCGACCAAATTAATCCCGCTGTTAACGAATAGCTGTTGGGAGGTACGTGACTCAGCTTTGAGATGTAGAATTTCCGCAGAATCACATTTTTGTTGACAGGACACACTGATCGTTTTGTGAAATCTTTATTGGTAAATGATACCTACAAATAATAGATTTATGTCAAACTAAGGCAATCGGTAGATATTCACTGTTGACAACCGTGCTTCGGTAAACGATTAAACAAATTTATGATATGGACATCTTACAGAAACTGGTGCGAGCCAAACTCCAAGATATGAGTTGAATTCGTTCACTGTTCTTCTCGAATGGGTATTTTTCCTTATCATACGAAATTTGGTAAGCGTCACTGGTGATCTTGTCATCAAGACTCTTGAAGATTTCTGGCGAAATGGAGCTGAAACCTTAAGGACTAACATCTTTGTAATGTACTATTCATAAGGTTGCTGAAAATCCGTCAACAGCCCACGACCGGTTTCGCCCTGTTTGGGGCTCATCAGGTAGGCGCAGTCCCCACGTTTCCGTCACCCTTATGTTCTACTTGAAACCAAATTGCACGAGATTATCGAATATACACTCATTTGCAAACTAATTTGTTTTTTTCGAGAGACTCACCTGGAACCCAGCTGAATCTCTCGTTTGTGATGTTCTCAGGCTATTGGCTAATGTTCGCCTAAGCCGTTTGACCAAAGTTTTTATGTGGTGCGAACTGGATGTTAGATCACCTAGGCGATCCACCAATTCGAGAAATCAAGCGGGTCACAGAAAAAGTTGAAAATGAACATTATCTTTTCTCGACATAAGATGCTACTCATAAGGTTGCTGACAACGTCGTGGCAGCGCACTACTGGTTTCTGTCCTTCAGACATGGTTGCAGGAGTGCCACCGACCTTGCGTTCTAATTCAGCACCAAACTGTACGCAACTGGCGAGATTCACTCGTTCCTCTTCAAAAAAAACTCGAGCCTAATCTAAAGTTTGCATGAATGGCCATCAATCAACCTGCTTACTTGAATGACTAAATTATCGCAATTCAGTTCAATGAAACCACTTTCTACATCCTCAACACTCCGACCATTAACTCATGGAAATCGAATTTCAACGTTCACCGAATTTCATTTCACGCATGCAGCTGCGGGTTGCAAAGAGGATGTCACAAGACTTCTGAGAATATCTGCTTACACCCAAAACCTGATAAAGTATGTGGTTCGTTGAAATGTACTTGCACTCTTGTGTTACGTGGGTGAATTGTTTGTCGATCTGGGAGCATGACAACTAACGTTAGTTCCTGTCTCGGTTTTTCTACGACAACCCTCAACAACCATCATTTGATGGCGTTGCAGATAATTCCACTATAGTGTTCTCGAGAAAATGGCTGACTTATTTTTATCGAAAACGACCAGGTCAGAATTTAAAAAAGAATTAGAAACGCACGTAAGGGTTCGATTACCTGTCTAACTTCTCGTTCAGAATTAACCGATATGTAGTGTGATTATCCATATCTGCATCGCAGTGTCTTTTGCTCACAGAGATGATCTACCATCGGTTTTTTGGATCGATAGATATAACCGTGAATTGAACGTTTAATGAAGTGAAGTTCACTAAAGTGGATAGATTCAAAGAACGAAGGTCGGTGAATCGATGATTTATCGAAAAAAGGCGGAGCAAATGACAGGGATAAAATACGTTGGATGAGTTGAATGGCGACCGGTTTACCCAGTACAGCTTAAACTCGCGCTTGTTGCGTCATGGTGAAGCGCGTCCGTGGGAAATATTAAAGTAACATTCGGCTTGTACTATTCTAAAGGGTAGATTCCGGAGTTGACCCCTGGTACTCAAATTCGAAGTTGAGCATTCTACAACCAAGAGTGAAATGAACCGAAATCTAGCAGACTGCCTATCGGGAAAGAGAAAAGAGATGTTGACTTCTGTACCATTTGAAACCAGCTTAATGTTTTGCAGTTGATCATTTTAAGTGAAGTAGCCAATCACGTTAGGAGATAACAGATGGCGTTCGAATGCTATATAGACGCACGCAGGCAAGGAAGAAGTACCCACCCAACTGCGCACCGATAATGTCTCCTCGTATGGTGACGAAAGGCTTGCAAGCCAATTTCTTGGCTCTGTCAATTCTGTCCCTTGATCTTGTAACCAGTCTGCTCCAAATGGTGGCACTTGATTTATGGGCTATCAGGATTATTCTTTGACGTGATACTCTACCGATTTGTTCTTGTTGTTCTTGCCGCTGGTACGATCCACTGGATATCCACAGTTCTGGAATACTCTAGGAAGACGTTTTCTTTGTCACTTTTTTTATTATCCAGTGTATCTGTCGAGCGTGGATGCTCTTCTCATTGCGGCCCACTGAATGGCTGATGTGATGGTTCAATAGTTGGTCGCAGGTCTTCTTTCAACGAACAATAGTTTCAAGTGTCCTAATCATCTTCCTGCTCACTGAAGGGTCGCTTTCCTCAAATGTAACTTTGACTAGTTCACCCGTACTCCGAATTCAGTATTCTGAGTGGGACTGCGTACGGTGAAACCACTATTCAGCTGATCGACCGGACCCACCAGATCGATACACGTATGGCATTTATTATGTCCCCCACCCCTGAAAGTCACACAATACTGGAAAATATCGATGCAATTTTCATTGCTCATTTCAAGCAATCAGTTGGGCCACACTGCGTTACATGCAGAACCCAAAAAGTTCAACCGTTCAAATGGAGCTCTGTCAACAAATGCGTTACTACGAATGCAAGAATAAAGTAGTAAAAGTGTACAGACCTCTGATTATGGGACTACGCCGACCTTCATACAACGGTTTAAGAACTACTAATTCCAAACGGGATCCTAAAGTTCACACCAACTCAAAGCAAGGTGGCCACAAGATGGAGGAACCCACGTGTTGATTTGAACAAGACGTGTGATGACAAAGAAAGTGGGTGTAGGCGCAAAGTGGAGACAACAAAACCCGGGAATCACGTTCTAGACAGTGAGAATAGAAGAAAAGACTCAACAATGTTTATGTGGTTACTTCATCCCTTACTGCCAACTAGGTAGGCTGCTAAATGAAGTGGGTATGCGTAGTGCGCTTCAATCGACCTGATAGTATTTACGTTCTGAATAAAGAACGCACTTCGCAATATCTTACAACTTTGCCTTAGTTTTTATTGCTACGTTCGCCTGTTGAGTACCATCAGATAAATGTAAAAATTCGTGCCATGATTTCCAGTTCACGCGGGCTTTTTGCTTCTTGTAATCGATTGTCCATCCTCACCTAACAGATGTGAACAACCGGAAAGCACAGTTTCCGACCGATACGCTCATTCGCACACTAATTTGGTTTTCAGAGAAGACTCAACTGAGAAATACACTCAGTTTCGAATCAATTTGGTCTTCACGAGAGACTCAAGTGAATCTCTCGTTTATGATAATCTACAAGTGGATGTGCTGCACACAGGCCGTCTCATGTTTCAGTTGGCACGATATTCGAGATATCGCAATATATTTTCATGAAAGAAACCACCCATAAGGGATTCAGTGAAAACCAAATCGATTTGCAAATGAGTGTATTTTTCGAAAACAATGCAATTTGGATTCAAGTGGAACATAAGGTTGATGGAAACTCGGGGACTGCGCCTACCTGATGAGCCCCAAAAAGGGCGAAACCGGTCGAGGTCTGTCGAAGAGTTTTCAGCAACCTTGTGAGTAGTTTCCTTTTTGAAAAAGACTCAACTGAATCCAGCTGAATTTCTCGTTTACGATGGTCCGCTTCAACTGAATACTCTGAATCAGGCCGCTTCCTTTGTGAGTTGGTACGCTGTTTGAGATATCGCAATAGGCAGTCGTTTTTTCAGAATTTTCGGAGAGTTTTCAGCAACTTCATGAGTAGTATGCTACGTCTACGAAGCGCACTGATTCAGCTATTGTTAACTGTTGCGGATGGCTACGAATGAATAACGGTGAGAAAATCACCACATGAATACCTGCTTTTTAACTACTTTTGCAGTTCTGGGTGATTTTCCGTCAGCCGGTTATGAATCTCATCGGAAATCAAACTTAAAAGGTGCAATGCTATTTATTGCTCCGGTTCATTGGCCCAAAAGTTTATATTGGCAAAAGTTTATATTGCACAATCATAGGGTCACCTCATGTTCCCCTTCACTACGAGAAATTTCAATGATTGCCTACGGAAAATTTGTCTTAGAACCCTGAGGTGCTTGGTGAGTGCGTGGATATAATGTTCAGAATTTTGTCCCTTTTTTAGTCAAGGGATTGTCCATTGTACTTTTGCTGCCTGTAACGGTCGAACGGTATCTTCGAGTGACGCGTAATACCAGAACCTCCGAGTAGGCAAAACGAAGTCGGAGCTGGGTTTCTATATGACACTATTAGTGTAAGGGAAATTCACAAATTATACAAACTGCGACAGTAGATACGCGTCCAAAACAAACGGTCCACTTGGACTACAAAAGTATAAAGCAAGAGAGCAAACAGGCTCCCACGTGCGAAGTTGGATACAAATGGCTGGATGACCCCAAGGTCAAATGAGTGAAGTGGTAAGGACAAACAAACGTCAGTTCATACATACACACTGAACACAAAACAGGGCCGGGGGTTACAAATGGGGACAGAATAAACGTGGGGAAGTTCATTGTCAGCGTACTAGATGATACACTGCCCCTTGTATGTTGGACGGGACCTCAGTCTAGTGGAGAGTAGGACTGGAAGTAGGTCAGTTTGACATCTTCTCAAACCATATTAGGTTATATGAGGAGCGGGGACCATTGCGATATCCTGTTCAACTAACCCACCATCAGGTCTCTCATGCTGATGAGTTTGTGGGTGTACAAACTAGTCTTATAGGTCTTTCAGCTATGTTAATTCGCTTATTTTCTAAGCTGAAGCGACATAAAACCAAGTCTAAATGAACCTGATCAAACCCTCTACGCGTCAAGGCTAACGAGATGGAGGCTTTTTGAATATTTATTGTATAGCTACGTCAGTGAATCCACTCTTCAGCAGACGCTACTGATTATGGGACCGTATGAAGGTGGTACATCTCGTCTGTGCAGCCTTCAGAATTTCTGCTGTTTAATGCTTTTTTAACGTGTCTCTTAGCTTCATCAACCGCAGTGTTTTACTGAATGCAGTGGGCTTTTTAGCCTAGAAACTAATTGAATATACACAGCTTTCCCAAAAATCACTCAGTTCTATCTAACAAGTGAAGTTATGACGAAAATATACAGGTGGTCCTAGAGTTTTGTCGTACACTCTGGGGCAGACTCCTCCACCAGACGATTGAGTACTTCTCTCTACCTGTCCACGACACCCTCTCTGTGACACGTCCGCCTATAGAGATGCCCCATAACTCTAAGCTCGTTTTTCCCAACTCAGATCTCATGGATATCCGTTATCTGGCGTTTTCCAGCTAGCTGCTTTCTAACCAGTTTGCTTTGAGAACCATACGACCAGCTTCTCTGCATTTTCAGACAAACTGTCAATAGTTGATGTTCGAACTTTGTTCCGCGCCTATCTGATCAACTTTTTTCCATCCTACGTATCAAGAGATCGCGGATACATCGGTTTGTCAACACCTTTGGCTATACCCCCCTCCTACACATCACAGTCCAGAGGGGTTGAACATCGTCTCCGCATGTGTTGCTTGTTGTTCATCAGGACTTCCAACAGTGCGCACATGTTCATACACACACATGGTGGGTGGCCTGCCGTGCCATGCCAACCTTCCGTCTGCATGTGCGAGTCGCGCGCGCGGATAGCTTACTGGTCGTGAAACACGTCCGTTTTCGACCTGACATCCGGGGCAGAACATATGTCGTCACTTGGAGGGAACAGCATTACGGCACGGGTCGCGCCGGCGGAAGTCTACTAGCAGCTTGGTTGGATGTTTGATGTTTCGGCTAGACTGCAGCGTAGTCCACACACTGCTCAGTAAACGTGGGAGATAATGCACCAGGCTTGCCGGGACCGGTACACTTTGAAAGAGCTTAAGGCTATGTGGTTTGTATGATTCGACACTGGCTTTTGTGCGGAAAGTAAGCAAAACGGAAACTCGACAGTTCCGGGACTTGTGCCCAAGGCCGTCGACCGTGCGTGATTTTGTTAAACAACTATGGTGATTTTCCGACAAGCCTTCGTAAAACACGATACATGTGGGACGTAGAACTGACGTATGGAGGCTCTACAGCTGGGCTGGCAGCTCATACCGCCGGACTTACTGATATTGGTGAGCTTGGGTTGGGAAGCGGTGTTGCTGGGGTTAGATCCATGCAACTGGAAGCGACAGCAACACACAAATGTCATCAAGCCTGTCTGAAGAGGGTAACTCAGTGAATCTGGATGTTTAGTTCATGGAATTCATGGTAGTGCAATGGCTTATGTGCATAGTGGGCGACGCGGAAGAACGTCCGCCCACCATCCACGCTGTCATTCATACCGGTGTAATCGTTTGAGCTATACCTGAAGAGCAGAACCCCCTGAAGCTTCTGGCTGGAAGCTGTAACAAACACAGCGATGCGTGCTGTAAAAAGGTTCAGCTTAGTTGTTCTAAGTCAGTCATTCCCCTGGGACCAGATCGCAGAAACCCAAGATTTTGGTTTGGAATCTCAGCGGTCCTCTTGTATGGGTTAGGGCAGTTCGACAGCATCTCAGCCCACATGGAAGTGACCCAATACAGCGATGTATGTATGGAAATCCAGTCTCCCTGGTGTTCTAATTAATCAGGGTATATTCGGCCCCCACTGGTTCAGCACCCGTCCTACTGAAACGTATCACGTTACAACACTGGGCTCCTTGGGTCCTTCAGTGTGGTTTGTTCTTCGCTTTGTTCCAAGTCTCGGAATGAAAAGATAAGGTATGAATTATTCCGCTCAATTCACTGTCATGTAGTAACAATTTTGTTACACTTTGTAAGACAATCCGATTGTTTTGTTACTTTGCATTTGAATATTCAGTCAATTAGGTTTGTGCCTACTTATGTCAGATATGTGTCAATAGCATAATTTAGGTGACCAGAGAACACATTGTTTCACTCTGTTGGTATACACATCAACACAGGTTGTTTTCACTCAAACCAAATCGAGGCCGTTCTGCAGGCTTGATCCGACAATCCGAAATGATCACACCATCAAGGCCAAATCGATTTAGTCACGTGACACATGCTAGCCAGTACTACGCCGAGCTTGGCCCACTTGGAGCCTATAGGAACTAATTCTTGGGTCATATGTTACGCTAATTTACTGACCGGAAGGTCCATGGTTCGAATCCGACCTCTGCCTCTCGACTTCCCCTGTCCAGTCTTGGGCAACCTGGCAATATCCCCCCGTGTCTCCTTCATTTAGCATGGCAGCTAGGCGCCGAGAGGGTACTACAGCTGAACGATTGTGATTGTTTGACCTTGCCATTAGCGGGTCAATGCCGTGCATTCGTTTTGTACTTAGATTGTGTGGAACCTAGTCTTTAGATATGCCTTGCAAATTGCACTGCAAATTGCAACTTTGCTAATATGTGGTTACTGTGGTGAGGAGTAAAAGCCCAATATTTTTTCAGCACAATACGTAGGCTTGTAAATCCGGAACTCTGATCTCTCTGTCCCCCTTCAGTTGTCCTGTTTTGTGACCAGTTGACTAGGGCTAATCCTAAGGACAACAGAAGGCTGTTTCTTTTCGGAGGACTAGAAAGCTCTAAAAGAAGGACTTATAAACACCACGGAAATGTAAGACAACATATGCCTAAACGGATTTACACATGTTTTCGGTTCGACGCACCACAACGCACCACAACGGCGTGCCTGGCGGTATGTTTGTTCGGATCAGTCTGCACCATTTGCCGCCTTATTTGCACTCCATAGGCAACAAGATACATGGTCGGTAGACCAACTGTCAGTCGTCCCACAAGTTACAGGGCACTGATAATTCTCGCAAGACTTCTTTGCTTACGCACACAGAAACCTGACACCGATTTCACGCCCAAGAAAGGGTAATCATCAAATGGGATACAGATCAAAATATCCGGCACGCCTTTTTCCACTCAGCTGTATGCGTTTTCGACTTTGTAAACCGGTAATGACAAACTAGTGAAGGCAATTGTCTCATTTTTTTATTATTTCGGGAGTGATTTGCTTTAGCGGTTAAGTAAAATTCCAGTGTAGTGATTGAATTGCCGGTGGTTTACTCTGATTCAAGGGTCACGAGAAAATGTGCGAGCATATGTATATGTAATTATATTGAAAGCCCTAGAGTGAAAAAAGAAATAGGGTGGGGGAGGAGACCTAGTGCTGGTTTACGTCAAGCATCCTGAGGTGCCTACACCTCCAACCGCCCAATCAGATAATCTGGAAAGAAACTGACAGCACAAACTCCACTGACATCGAGTAGTGGCCATTTCTTGTGACGTCTCCAGCCAAGCACTAATGGGGTCACGGGGACCTCATCCTGGAAGTCAAACAACACCAACAACACCCAAACTCTTCGTGATATCTTTCACGTGTTTCTGCTGTGCTGTCCACCACGCGGTTTGCGCCGTCCTGAAGGAGACACGGAGAACAACACTCGCCTCGGTAGACGGTGTTTCGGCATGCCTAGCACATGACCAAGCCATCGTAGTCGGTGATGCTGGATGTTTTCTCGGATTGCGGTGCCTGCAGCACAACCAAATACCCGTTTTCTAATCCCCTCGTTACTGACACGCTGACGCCATCCAAAACCAGCCACGCTTCTGAGGCATCGGTGGTCGAAAACCTGAAGA